CTCACGGACTAGTTTCAACAACAAATACACTGCCAAGTTACCTACAGGAGAGGCACAGGGAGGACTTAAGAGACCCTTGAACCAGCTGCAAATGTGTGTGCTCAATCAGAAAACAGGATGAGGTCACACTGTGGTGTGGTGAAACAAGCTGGTGACATGACACCGGCTCTCACAAGTGCCAGTTCAAGTCCTGGCTGCTCTGCTTCTTACCCAGCTCCCACATTATGGCCTGGGAAAAGCAGTGGAGGCCAGCCCAGATGCTTGCGCCCTGCCAAATAAGTGGGAAACCCACAAGAAGCACCAGGCTCACGGCTTTGGCCTGGTCAGCTCTAGCCAGTACTGAGACAACGTAAGGAATGAATCAGTAGATGCAAGACCACTGTGTCTTTATGTCTCTGCTCTGTAACTATGACTTTCAAATAATAACTATCTCTTTTAAAAAAGGCACAAGGGCAAGCACTGGGATCCCATATGAATGCTGGTTCATATCCCAGCTGCTTCACTTCCTATCCAGTCCCCTGATTGTGGCCTGGGAATGCATTAGAGGATAGCCCAAAGCCTTGGGACCCTATACCATAAAATTGTCCATTATCAAGCTATAGATTTAGCTCAATCTCAGTCACACTTTCAGCAATGGATTCTTCTATAGACACAGGTATAAAATTTATTCAGAATGGCAAAGAGGGCCCTGCACAGTAGCCTAGAGGCTAAAGTCCTCACTTTGCACGAGCCAGGATCCCATATGGGCACCAGTTCTAATCCTGGTGGACCCGCTTCCCATCCAGCTCCCTGCTTAAGGCCTGGAAAGGCAGTGAAGGATGGGTCAAAGCCTTGGGAACCTGCACCTATATGTAAGACCCAGAAGAGGCTCTTGGCTCCTGGCTTCAGGTCAGTTCAGCTCTAGCCGTTGCGGCTACTTGGGGAGTGAATCATCGGCGGAAGATCTTTCTCTTTGTCTCTCCTCCTCTCTATATCTGACTTCCCAATAAAAATAAAAGAAATCTTTAAAAAAAGGCAAAGAAACCACAATAGCCAAAACAATACTGAAAAAGAATAAAATTGGGAAAATTACAGTATCAACTGTAAGATCAACAAAACCCATCAATGAAGCACAGCACATGGAAAGCAAGAAAAACACACACCCAGGAAGCAGAATGCAGAATCCCGGAAAGCATCCGCACAACACAGCCAGCCAATTTCTGACCAAGGTAAAAACAGAACAGCGTGCGGAGTGTATGAAAGACAGCACCACAAGCAGCCAAGGGTCTCTGACCAGTAGTCCACCCTCCACGTGCTCAGCAGCGAGCCCCACACCAGGCCAAGGCCACAAGTCAGAACTTCATTCTGGAACTCCATTCACATCTCCCAAACGGGCAGCAGGGAACAGGCACTTGACACACCACCTATTGCTTCCAAGAGTGCCCACTACAAAGACGCCAAAGTCGGAAGTAGAAGCAAGGATGTGTTCCCAGATACTGTGACATGCCATCAAAGTCCACCAAGTGACAGCTTCACCAATTCATTTGCCCATTTCACCTTTTCAGCAAATGGTATTTTGGACATATATTTCAAAAAAAAAAAATGGATCTCAACCTAACCCTCACATCTTATAATAAATTGCACTAGTAGCTGGTATTGTGTTCCAGCAAGGTAAGCCACCACCTGCTGGCATCCCCTAGGAATGCCAGTTTATATCTGACTGTTCCATTTCCGACCCAGCTCCTGCTAACACGCCTGGGTAAGCAGCAGAAGATGGCTCAAGTGCTTGGGCCTAAGACACTCACATGTGAGACCAAGCTCCTGTACTAGCCCTAATGTGCCATATGCAGATCAAACAGGACGTTCCAAGCCCACAGTACATGCTGCGGGACTGGGCCACATCAGTTCCTGCAGCTATAGAAATATAGAGAGCATACTCAGATGCACACACAAAAAAATAAAGCAGCTAGCTCATCTAGACCAACAGAAGCTTCAAGGAGGGAAAGAAAGGCAGGGTGAACAACATTCCAGGCAGGCAACCAAGTCTGTGGACACGGACGGCCAGCAAACCTTCAAATTTCTCGCCTCTTTTACTCTGGTGAAACAAAGCCAATAACTTCTGAGAACAATCAAGACCACTCAAGTAACACCCTCACACATCACTCCCCACATCAGGACCTGTAAGGCAACATCAACGCCCCCTCCATCCCTGGCACTGATGCGATCTGACAGCAAGGAGTGGTGCAATTCCCTTCCCCTACCCCCGTCCCCACCTGAGGACACAGGAGGGAAAATGAAAATATTGATCTCATTACCTTCTCCCCACCCAACCCTCCTTCCTAATGGGACGTCCATACGGGTCTGCCACATCCCCCACACACAAACAAAAAAAAATTGCTTAATATTATAGTAAATAAACAAAATCATTTTTTTAAGTTTATTTTTCAGACCTGCTGTGATGGCTCAATTAGGCAGTCATCCCCTTGCAAGTGCAAGGAGCCCAAGTGGGGACCAGTTCATGTCCCAGCTGCTCCACTTCCCATGCAGCTTCCTGCCTGTGGCCCGGGAAAGCAGCCGAGGACAGCCCAAAGCCTTGGGACCCTGCACCTGCATGAGAGACCTGGAGAAGGTTCCTGGCTTCTGGCTTCTGATCAGCTCAGCTCCAGCCATTGTGGTCATTTGGAGAATGAACCAGTGGATGGAAAATCTATCTCTCATTCTCTCTAGAAATACGCTTTCCCAATCAAATTAAATAAATCTTTACAAAAATTTACTCTAACATACTTGTTGTATAAGTTCACATAAAAAAACAAAAAGCTTCTCAAGAGCAAGTCCACATCTGCGGCTTACCAGTGGATTCTGGTTTTTTATATTATTTATTTAATTTATTTATTTATTCATTTATTTAGTTTAATACCAGTGGATTCTATCAAATATTTCAGGAAGAAATAACACTAAACTTAAATAAAAACTGTCATAAAACAGAATCTCATTCAGCAATGCCAGCACAGCCAAAATCTGTCAAGGACATAGAAGAAAAAAATCACAGGGCAAGCCCTAGTCGCCACAGCAGCAACTCTGGAAAGCCAGCCCGGTCTCCTCATGTTTGACAGGGCCCGGAGATCCGGGCACACCGGCGGGGCCCTACACCAGAGGCAGAGCCGCCGGTGCACCCGCCGCTCCACACTGCGGACCCTAACACACATACTTCTGCAAGAATTTATATTACACCATCATCAGTGGTAGAAACTCTGACAAGATATGTTATTAATAAAGAAGCAGGTCAGGGACCAGCACAGTAACGCAGCAGTAGCACCAACATCCCACACAGCTACTTTACTTGTGATGCAGCCCCCTGCTAACGGCTTGAGAAAACACCAGAGGATGTCACAGGTCTCTGGGTCCTTACTTCCACGTGAGCTCCAGGAGTTCCCGGCTCCTAGTTTTGAACCGCCCAGCTCTGGCTGCTGCAGCCATTTAGAAAGTGAGCCAGAGAATGGAAGATCTCTTTGTCTCTCCCTCTCTGTAATTTTGACTTTCAAGTGAAAATAAAGAAATCTTAAAAAAAAATCATAAAACAAAGTACAGATTCTGATCGCTGCAGTCAGTAACCTGGTGCTTTGAGGCTCCTAACTCCGAGGTGCCTAACATCACAAAGGGAAGACCTGTGCACCTGACACAGCAATGAAAACCTTCAGGCTCTGCAGCACACCTGCGCTCGGCTAGAGCGCCAAGAGCTGGGGAAGTCACACCTTCACAGAACAGCCGAATGGAAAGCACACCTCGTCCTTGACTAGGGGAATGCCAGCAGCTCCACATTCACACAATGCTTACAGAGGACTGTGGTGATGCATTTTCACGGTTAAACTTGCCAAAAATTATACAATGAATGGAAACCGTGGGAATCTGTACAATCAACACTTCTACTATTGGAAATGACGGGAAAAAAAATATATCATAGCAAATTATTAAAAAAAAAATACCCACACTGACTATAGGACAAAATAAACAAGTGAAAACCTAACATGGGAAGGAAGTACTCCATGGACAGACTTGGGCACCTACAGCAGCTAGTCCAACAGCAGCTGCGTCCACAGCCAACACATCTACTCGGAAGTCTTGTAGGACGCGGCTCTCCTCACAACACTTCACAATCTCTTTGAGATTATTCTGAATACACCAATAAAAGTATTCTCTGTTCCCCCGGCTCTGTGACAGTACCTGCCGTTTGTCCCAAACATAGACCACACACTTCAAACAAACAATACTGGATTCCAAGCAACAACACTGTTGATGTCTTCTTATCCCTCCATGTTCGTAATTATTTCAAATCATTCAGTAACTTCACTGGCTCCTTCAGGTACATAAGCTTTCAATTCATTAAAAGCTCCTAGAACCTCATCAATTGAAAGCCAGGCCAAGGCAAAGGGCATGTTTTTCAACTAATGGGTCATCACCACCCAGTCTAGCCTTCTAGTTTCTGTCAAATGCGTGGAGCTCAAGGGAAAGATGAGAACCTATAAAACATGAAATTCCCCTCTGGAAGCCCTCATCAGGCCGCCCTGTGGCACACCAGGTCACGCTGCCCTCTGTGATGCCAGCATCCCATATAAGCACTGCTTCACCTAATAGACTCTAATCCCTTTCCCAGAATTCAACCTTCTACTAACCTGATATAGCTTTTTCCCCTCAATGACAATTGAGGTTTTCAGAACTTCAACATTCAGGATTTTAATCTTTCAGGGCTAGGATTTTCAGAATTTTACACTTTAGGTATCTTGACTAAGAATTGAGAACTTCTGGGATTTTACCATACAAAATCAAGGTTTTCAGGATTATGACCAATCCCACTCACTGACTGCTTCCTCACAATCCATGAGCTTCCTTTTGTACCATGAATTTCCCAAAGTGATCTGACTGCCCCCCTTTCACATTCACATGGGAAATCTCTTCAACTATAACTCTTTTTTAAGACACATTTCAAGATTTGGTTCAAACGCACGAATACAAAAAATACCAACAAGTTCAACCAGGAAAACACCATTTCCAGTTCCAATGTCCAGCACTGAGGCGTCCAATGGAACCTTCTGTTTCTGCATCCACCTCAGCAGTCGAGTCATGCTCTCTTCTCCGAACCTGTGAGGAAAAGAGAATGAGTCAAGTACAGGGGCACAGAAAGCATAAGCACGGCGCCTGGGACGCTAGCTAAACTGTCACCCCATTTTTTTTGTTCATTTGTTTTAAGTTGTATTTTTACTGGAAAGGCAGAGTGACAAAGAGAGACAAGAGACCTTTCATCCACCAGTTCACTCCCCAAATGACCACAAGAGCCAGAGCGGAGCCAATTCGAGGCACGCTACATCACCACGCTGGCCCCCAATCCCACCGTTTATGATGAGTTCACCTTTGTCTCCACTGTTACTTAGAAGGAAATGTCTACAAGAACAGGATGGAGAAGGTCAACACTCTAACAGTGGTAACACCTGTAAACGCTGGGGCTCACAATTTTATTGCTTATTTTTAAAGAACAACTACAGAATGAAAGCAATCTCTTTATACCCTGATCACATTTAAATAAGTCACTGAAAGAGAAAAGAGGCACCTTGAATGGGCGCATTAATGCCAGATTCAATTCAATTCAGGGTCCTGAGAACTTTCAGAACATTAAAATAACAAATGTGTCTATGTGCGCACACAGAACACACACACAAACTTCTGGATCATAACTTCACGCTGTTATCCAACTCACCAGATTTCTCCTGTATCCCCACATTCCTGGAAAGTCTGTAGTTCTCGCTCATAGACAGCATCCCAACTACGACAGTGAAATGAAAACAAGAGTCTTGAATTAAAGTACATGTTTCTAACACATTACACACATTTATGACATTATCAATGAAATGCACATAGTTCCATCTCTTGACATTTTTAGGTTCAAGGAGCTAGAGACAATGACAAACACAAGCACAGAGCTGCAAGGCCCTCAGCACAGTACTTAATGCATTAAAAACAACGCAAACATTCGTCCAAGATGTCTGGGGCCCAGACCCACAACACCAACGCGGCTGGCAGCGCTGGTTATCGCCCCGCAGCGGGCCTCCAACGCCCAGGCGCAAGGATCTTCTACCACAGCCTGGGCACTCACAGCGGATCTCACCCAAGATTAACCTTCGCCTTGAAGCCAGCGGATCCTAACTCTCACCCCACCTCCTTCCAAGGCTCCAGCGTCTGCGCTTCTTCCTCTGCTAACACGCTGCCTGCATCTTCTCGCAACCCTTAATGGCAAGTGTGTACACACACACTCAAACACACACAACCGCCTCCAACACACACACCCCTACCTCTCTCACACATACACACACACACTCCACCTCCCGCACACACCCCTGCCTCTCTCACACACACCCCTGCCTCTCTCACACACACACCCCTGCCTCTCACACACACCCCTGCTTCTCTCACACCCCTGCCTCTCTCTCACACACACCCCTGCCTCTCTCACACATACACACACACACTCCACCTCCCGCACACACCCCTGCCTCTCTCACACACACACCCCTGCCTCTCACACACACACCCCTGCCTCTCTCACACACACCCCTGCTTCTCTCACACACACCCCTGCTTCTCTCACACCCCTGCCTCTCTCTCACACCCCTGCCTCTGCCTCTCTCCCCACTTTGCTCCCTGCTGTCTCTCCCAGTTCACCTTCATCCTCAACAGGCCCCCGATTCATTTGTGCCTCAATTCACCCCTCACCATGTCCTACCCCGTCTCCCTCCTGTCGCACTTCTGCCAGCCCCTACATCCCTACCCTCGCCCTCTCCGGCCCTGCGCTGCACTCACTGCTCTCGGGTCCCCAGAGCGGACGGGGCGAAGCCATCCTCGGCGGGACTGCGCGCCCCGGCCCGCGCCGCGGCCTCCCCGCCGCCGCTGCCGGCGTCAGCGCCCCGACTCATCTCGCTCGACGCTCGCGACGGCGGTTGGGTCGCCATCGAGATGGGGCGCGGGTAGAGCGCACGCCAGGGGCCGGCGCCTCTAGGCGACCAGGAGGCCTCCCTCTCTACTGCTCCAGGCCCGGTAGTCGGGGCGCAGAGGCTCCGCCCCGGCTGCGGTTCTCCGGGCACCGCTGCGCTGGCGCGGCCAAGCAGGGCCTGCTCCCTTGCAGCCTCTGCTCGGACGGATGCTAAGCGAGACCCTGTATGGGGATGACTGTCTGGTACTGGTGCTGGAGAAGGCACCGTCCCCTCCCTAGAGCCGACCCAGAGCGCTGTCCGCCCTGTAGGTCCTGGTTGAGTCAGACTGGAGTATGAGGCCACCCCGCGCTCTGCTAGCTGCCCCCTATCCCGGGGAAACGCGGAGTTCTAGCATGGAGATAGCAAATTCTGGACCATCTCCTTCTAAGTTTGAAGTTGTCTCATGTGCCCAGGGCCACGAGCATCCCTACAGAGTTCAGTGGGAAAGCAAGCTCCGCGGGCAGGTTCGGCAGCCCTGCATGGTCTCAGGCACCTGTGCGTCTCTGGGCCTCGGTTCCCTCCGTGGACTGTCAGTATCTATCCTTGCTCTGTAGAATACGAGAGCTGGCAGGGGGCTGGACACAGCAGCCTCGGGTCCCCTTTGGGGACGTCTTCATGCCCTAAGTACTGGACCTCCACCACCCACATGGGAGACCCAGGTGGAGGCCTCAAAGGCCCTAACAGGCTGCTTTCCAACCCAAAGCAGCATTTCCTGGTACATGAGTCTTGGCACACAAGTCCTTAGAGACAACTGCGGCCTTCGGCTGGTGAAGGCCCAATGTAGTCTCTTCCTGTATGCGCTGTTGGTGATAGAATAAAATAAAAGGCAGATGGGAATCCACGTGCCTAGTGATTAAAGAACTCAGGAAAGAGTGTAAGTAATCTTATTACAGAGCGATGGAACCGCCGGAGCCACGGCCAATTAGCACTGCCCTGGGCCCAGGGTTGTTTTGATCTTTCCTAGACTGTGGATGCTGGAGAAAGCAAGCTTGAGGCTAGCTCAGTGGATCTTCAAAAGCTGTAGGTTCTAATTAGGAGGCACCGCTGGAAGATAAGCCCATCTTGAACCTGGTATCTTGCCAACGCTAAAGATGTTTTTCTGCCATGTGTGATGAAAGCTATAAACAGTTGTTGGTGAGGAGCCCTGGAAAAACCCACGGTTTATTCAGAGTTCCTTGCCGGCTCCAGGCAGGATTACTAGGGTTGCTCGGTCCTGAAGGCTGCATACCGCACCACCTCTAATCACCCGGGGCAACAGGCTGAGATTCTCTGTAGGTGGTGGAGAAGTGGCCATCACCAGGGAGAAGCAGGAATGTGCCAAGAACAGGAGCCCAGCACACAACACAGCTGGCAGCCTCCTTGTGTACCTAGGACTGCCTGGCTCCTTCCCTGCCAACCACTGCAATCTGGCACCCCGGCACCTCATGCATCTGAAACTGTTCTTCCAGAAGTTCTCAAACCCAAAAGTTCCAGACCCCAGCTCCCTTCTCCCTTCCTCCCTTGATTCTCTGCAGAAGTCAGTCCTGGCTCAACCGGCTAATCCTCCACCTGGAAGCACCAGTATTCCATATAAATACTAGCTCATATTCCAACTGATCCACTTCCCATCCAGCTCCCTGCTTGTGGCCTGGAAAAGCAATGGAGATGGCCCAAAGCCTTGGGACCTTGCAGCTGTGTGGGAGACACAGAAGAAGCTCCTGGTTTCAGTTTGGCTCAGCTCTAGCCATGACAGTCACTTGGGAGTGAACCAACAGACAGAAGCTCTTTCTGTCTTTCCTTCTCTCTGTAAATCTGCCTTTCCAATAAATAAGATTAAAAAAAAAAAAAGTCAGTCCTGCTGAGCTCACCCTCTTGAAAGTAACTTCACCTTTCCCCGCTGCCTTCTGTTCTGGGATGAGCTTGGAAAAGGGGCAGAAAGCACCCACCTCCAGAATCAGATTCCCATTTGAGCTCTGCCTTCACTGTGTGATCAAGGGCAAGTTCCTTATCTCCAAGCATCTCAGCCTGCCCATTCTTACAACAGGATGAGGAGAGCCCTTAGCCCCAGGCAGCTGGAGAGAGGCCACCACCTACCTGCCTAGCACATGGGAAATGCTCCATAAACGATCACCCTTTCTGTAAAATGGTCTACATCAGAAGGTTGTGAGGAAGATGAGCTAAGCAAATGCACAGGATGTCTGTAGAGCGTAGGTCAGAGCCTGGCATTGTACTGCCAGTGCTAGGTTCTCCTTTGCGACTTTCAGCCTCTTGCTTCAGTTTCTGCGTTAAGGCAGCTGTCAGGATACCCCTGCTGCTTTAAGGTAGGCACATTCAGGACTGCCCTGTCTTTCTCCTCCCCGCCCCCAACACCCCTCAGTCCCTTCCTTTGCGTTTTCCCATCTAATCACGAACTATGGAATCATGTACAAAGGTTTTCTTGTGACTTAGGTAACTGGAGTCTTACTATTTGCATCATTTGCAACCTGGCCCTTCATTGAACAATATTGTAATGACATATTTGGAGATCTCATCAAGAGATCTCTTATCTTTTCAGCTACTTCATGATTTTTTAAAACTGGTGGCTAATAATTATCCGCTGACACTGAGTGTCAGGGAACCCTGGTAAACCCATGCAATCTGTTATTCCTGAAGAAAGTCCCGCAAGGTGAACCCTGATATTTTCCTTTTACAGGTGAGCAAACCAGTGCACATAGAAGTTGCCCAAAGTTGTAGAGGAAGTGCTAAAGCTCAGGCTGGAGCTCAGTCATTCTGTTCAAAGCTTCCGAGCATAGGCACTCATCCACCAGAGCGCTCTGTCAGTGTGCTTTGCGGGAGGTTTTGCCGAGAAGAGGGATTGCATCACACAGCATATGATACTAGGGTCCGGTGACTAAATCCTCGCCTTGTACATACCTGGATCCCATATAGGGGCTAGTTTATTTCCCAGCCGCTCCACTTCTCATCCAGCTCCCTGCTTGTGGCCTGAGAAAGCAGTTGAAGATGGCCCAAAGCCTTGGGACTCAGCACCCACATGGGAGACCCAGAAGAAGCTCCTGGCTTCAGTTCGGCTCAACTCCAGCCAGAGTTAATCAGAGAATAGAAGAACTTTCTCTCTGTCTCTCCTTCTCTCTATAAATCTGTCTTTCTAATAAAAGTAAACAAATTTTAAAAATAAAAATAATATAGAACAACATGTAATAGTAGAAGCCTAAAATTTTTTAATTATTTGTTTGAAAGGCAGGGGGATACACAGGGAAAGAATTTTTTTAAAAGATTTATTTCTTTTTGTTGTAAAGTCAGACATACAGAGAGGAGGAGAGACAGAGAGGAAGATCCTCTGCCCGATGATTCACTCCCCAAGTGACCGCAATGGCCAGTGCTGTGCCGATCTGAAGCCAGGATCCAGAAACTTTTTCCAGGTCTCCCACGCAGGTGCAGGGTCCCAAATCTTTGGGCCGTCCTCGATTGCTTTCCCAGGCCACAAGCAGGGAGCTGGATGGGAAGTGGAGCTGCTGGGGTTAGAATCAGCGCCCATATGGAATCTCGGTGTATTTAAGCCTAGGACTTTAGCCACTAAGACACGGTGCTGGGCCCAGAAAGAAATTTTTATATATTTTTAAAATTTTTTATTGGAAAAGTAGATTTACAGGGAGAGAAATTTTCCATCCGCTGGTTCACTCTCTAAATGGCTGCAGTTGCCGGGGCTGAGTCAATTTGAAGCCAGGAGCTTCTTCTGTTCCTCAGTGGGGGCGGGTGCTCAAGGACTTGGGCCATCCTTTATCTACTGCCTTTTCAGGCTACAAGCACGGAGCTGGATTGGAAGTGGAACAACCAGAACATGAGATCCCAGTGCTTGCAGAGTAGGATTTAGCTATTGACCTATAGTGTCAGGCCCTGAGAAAGAGGGATATATTTTGCACTGAATCACTCCCCAAATGCCTGCAACAGCCGGACTAAGCAAGACCAAAGCCAGGAGCCAAAAACACCATCTGGGTCACCCACGTGGGTGACAGGGGCCTAAGCATTTGGACCATTATTTGCTGCTTTCTCAGGTGTCTTAGCAGGTAGCTGGATTGCAAGCAGAGCAGTCAGGACCCAAAGCAGCACTCTGACATGGACACTGGCATGACAAGAAGCAGCTCAGCCAGCTCTTCCAGAACGCAGCCCCTCCTACTTTCTCACATCACATCCACCCCACAGTCCTGCATTGGTAACATCTACATGCAGCTTCTATTTCAGATGGTGAAGATACAGCAATGAAGATACAGCTTAAACAGGAATCCCTATTTTCAGAGTTCCGAACATGCTGCTAGTGGGAGAAAGAGAATAGACAGGAAAATCGAGTAAGACAGGGTTCTAAATGCTAAGAAGCAGTGAAAAGCAAAGCAGGGAAGTGATACTGAAAATGTGGGGCAGAGCTGCAGTCCTGGCTGGGCAACCAGCGCAGGAGTTCTGAGCAGTCAGGAGGGGACAGAATAAAGCAGGGTTTGTGTCTAAGACAGAGCTGGACATGGAAGGGTCAGGGGTTGGGAAGGAAAAGAAGCAGGAGAGATGGAGAAAGTTCTGGGTTTGGGTACCACTGCAGCATCCTGTCTCCCCACTTGGGGGAGCATAAAAGTGAGGGGGCCTTTGGAATTGTTCCCCCGGGTGGAGTTCAGGAGCTGGACCTTGAATGGACCAGGCTGCTTGTCCAGAAAAAAAGAGGAGTGACTTCAGGCCAAGAGAATGTCTTCCCCTGGGGAGAATTCCAGGAGGAGGTGGGGCAGCTGAGTGCTGTCAGCTGACAACCTCCCAGGCAGGATGGACAGTAAGTCAACAGCTCCTGCAGTGGGGTCAGGGTGGCACCTCAGAGCACTGAACAGTGTCCTGGGAGATCATTCCAGGCTAAGCAGGCAGCAGCTGCGAAGACCCCAAGGTGCAGTGTACCAGGGACACTCAGCAAGCAGAAAGTCTAGCATGGCAGAAGCCCAGTAAACCCAGTAGCGGGAGCCAGACCATCGTGAGATTGGGGATTTAGGCCAAGAAATAACATGACTCAAGGTTTATATTTAAATGCTGACATAACCCTTTTAGCTCCTAGGGTCAGAGTAGATTTGACAAGCTAGGGGGTTAAAGGCAGAAATCAGAATACGGCTGCCTCTCTCATCTCACCAAGGTGGACAGAGTTAACTCTTGACCATGGAACAGGTTCTTGTTTGAGGCCAAACTTCTGCCTGTTGGGACTCATGGAGTTAAAGGCTGACATAACCCAGGAGAGATGACAGCAGCCTGGACCAGAGTGGTTGGTGGGCTGTGGGGAACTGTAGGATTCTGGATCTATTTTGAAGATCCCTTAATGAGGGGTATGACGGAAGGGGAGTTGTCAGGAAAGTTTCCTTCGCTCTGTTTCGGTAGGAGCCTTGTGGGGAATCGGGCCGCTGGATTTGAACAGGAAACACTGCACAAACAGAAAAGCAATGACCATGTTAGTTCCTTCTCTGGCTTTGTCTTGCAAACGGCCGTGGTTTATTTCCCTTGTTGATAACTCACATTTTGTTTTGTGTTGTTTTTCCTGCTTTCCATGACTTTTCATTAAATGTGTGTTTTGTAGTATCCGGAACACAATCGCTCCTTGATACTGGGTTACTGGAATATTGTCCCTTCCCTCTGCACCTCTGTACTGTCATCGCTACCTGACAGCGTCTCCCGCAAGCCCTCTCAGACAGGGCCGCCCGTCGCGGACTGCATTTCCCAGGATGCTGAGAGGCGGCGCCGGCCGGAAGGCTGTGCGCCCTCCGCGGGGCATGATGGGGGAGCTGGAGCTTTCCATCATGGCGGCTTCCATTTCGGGCTACACCTTCAGCGCTGTGTGTTTCCACAGCGCCAACAGCAACGCCGACCACGTAGGTGCCGGGCCCCCTGCCGCGGCCGCGGGGCCCCTTCCGCCTCCGCCCCCGGCCGGCGCCCGCGGCCCACCCGGGGCGGCGCGCGGCTCGCCCCTCGGCGCTGCGGGACGGGCCGGCGGAGCTGGGTGACCCGGGGGCTCCCGGGGCGCCTTCCCCCCGGCGGGGAGGCCCGTCCCCCGATGGCCTGGCCGCCTTCCCGGCCGTCCTGGGACAGCCGTCTGCCGTCCAGGGGATCCGCTGTGTCTGGAGTCGCTGGATGGACACGGGGCGTCCACCCCTCCCCGAGAGTTCTGGTTGCTATATATTTTTTGAGGGGCGCCTGGGGTGGGGATCAGGAGGCACCCGCCGGCCCCAGGGGTCTTGTGTGGTGCGAAGAAGGAGGCCATGGCTGTCTGCGTCTGTGCTTGCGAAACGCCGTGGCGTGTTTCCTGCGCCGCGATGGAAAATCGAGAGTGCAGAGGGGCGTGCTGGGTGCGGGGTCTTCTGTCTCCATGAAGTTGTGGGTGTAGGGGCTCCGGGTCTTGGCGTGCCCGTGAAGTTGTGGGTGTAGGGTCGCCAGGCTTTGGCGTGTTCGTGAAGTTGGATCTAGGGTCGCGGGGCTTTGGCGTGTGCGTGAAGTTGGATGTAGGGTCGCCAGGCTTTGGCGTGTGCGTGAAGTTGGATCTAGGGTCGCGGGGCTTTGGCGTGTGCGTGAAGTTGGGTGTAAGGGCGCCGGGTCTTCGCGTGTTCGTGAATGGGTGTAGGAGCACTGTTTCTTGGTGTGTGTGAAGTTGGGGGTGTAGGGAGGCAAGGTCCTGTGTCTATGAGGTTGTGGATGTAGCTCATTGACCCAGGTTGGAAAGCCACAGAATTGACAGGCCAACGGGAGAGCGATGAGAGTGATGTAAGCCTGAAGCCCTGGCCGGAAGCAGTGTCTTCATCAGTTGTCTTTTAGTGCCACTGGCCTCCCTCTGGAAGTTGGTAACCTCAGGTCGTCGTGTAGCTTGAAAAGGGGGTTCTTTTTTTGTTTTGTTTTTTAGATTTATTTATTTTTATTGGAAAGACAGATATACAGAGAGGAGGAGAGACAGAGAGAAAGATCTTCTGCCCAATGGTTCACTCCTGAAGTGACCCCAACGGCTGGAGCTTAGCCAATCCGAAGCCAGAAACTTCCTCTGGGTCTCCCATGTGGCTGCAGGGTCCCAAAGCCTTGGGCCGTCCTCGACTGCTTTCCCAGGCCACAGGCAGGGAGCTGGATGGAAAGCGGGGCCACTGGGATTAGAACCGGTGCCCATATGTGATCCTGGCATGTTCAAGGCGAGGACTTTAACCGCTAGGCCACTGTGTTGGGCCGAAAAGGGGAGATCATTACCTCCCCCACCAAATGGGGCGGTTGTCTAGGGGCTGGATTAAAAGCCATTCAAGGAACCTTTGGGATTTTCTTTCTGTGGCTGTCTTCAGGAAGCAAAGCAGCAGGAAGAATGAATGGGATGTGATCAGCAGTGTTGAGTGTCCACGAATAAAAGCTGACTTCACAGAGAGGGGAGTGGGAATGAGTTGCTGTCCCTTTTCTCTGCCTGGTGTTGTTAGTAGCAGTTCACGGAAGGCCTGTGGATAGCCTTTGCTTCTCCTGGGGCGACAGTGGACACTGCCTTGGGCAGTGCTGCCAGCTGCTCGGCAGTGCAGTGCCGTCCCACATGTGGGTGGTTTGGGAGGCCCCTGCTGCCCATGCGCTAGTGACCGCGAGCTCAGGGATGCTGCCTGTCGCTCTCGCTTAGCCCAGGACTGTTGAGGCTTAAAGCAAGATTATTACGAGAACAGGCAGCTACCTGTTGAAAAACGAATAGTTTTGTTTGTTTGTTTGAAAGAGTTATATATAGAGAGAGGGAGGGGCAGAGATCTGCTGCTTCATTCCCCAGTGGCCAGGGCTAGGCCGGATCAGTACCAGGAACTTGGATCTCCACGTGGGTCACCCACATGAGTGGCAGGGGCCCAGGAAGTGAGCTGTTTTCTGCTGTCTTCCCAGGTGCATTAGCAGGGAGCTGGACCAGAAGCAGAGCAGCCAGGACACACACTGGCCCTGGTATGGGAAGCTGTAAAAGGCAGCTTAACCTACTGAGCCATAACACCGACTCTGAGAAAGGAGTGTTTTTTTTCTAGAAAGTGAAATGAGATGGCCATATTGCTTAGACTGGGTTGTTATTAAGCATTGGCTCCTTAATTCCTGCCCTATTCTAGATACAGTGGTGGACTTGATGTAGATTTTCAGCAGTGCCAATAGCTTTATATCATCATGGCTGCTTGCATTAACCATACCACGTTTACAGATAAAGAATATTTGAAAATAATTTTAAAGTTGAAAAATCAGTAATTTAATTTTGTAGTATGTGTCAGGCTCGAGTTCAGGTTCAGAACTAGGTAACCAACAGAGTACAGTTCAGCTCAAAGCAAACTTTACTGGGAGCACTCCCGGGTGAGGTTCACTCATCTGGCACCGACAGTGGGCCAAGGAAGTCAAGCCTAGGGCTTTTGGGGTGGAGTGAGATTGAAAGAGGGAGAGAGTGTGTGTGTCTGCTCCCTGGGGGGAGATAGCCCGGGGCCACTTCCACGTGGCGGAGGGAAATGGCTGCCCAGGGTGTGTGGTACTGGGCTTTTCTACTTCTCAGGTGGGGGATGGGGGAAGCCAGCAGCTCCTCAGTTTGTGCATGCTTGTGACCATGGCGTGTCATCATGATAGGTGTTGGTCTGTGCAGACTCGGCACTGGACACGTTTCTGGATGACAGTGTCTGCTTGACCTCGGATCCAGGCTAGTGAAGCCCTCTTCTGTTGGTGGCCAGAAGGAGGCAGGAAGGAGAGCTAGCACCGGACTCCAAGGTCACCAGGTGTTCCTTGTCCTTTGATGCACACAGCTCCCTCAGGAGTTGCTTCTGCTCGGCTTAACAGTACATACTTGTTTTGTTCAGGCAAGAAATTAATGTTAAACCAGTAATCATTGTTGAGCACGGAGGATGGGCATATTTGCTATAGAGAGCTAGTGTGTCTGTGTTTTGGGTGGTGTGAGCCAGATGGTCTGTGAGGCAGCTGTTCATCTCTGCTGTTGCGAGGAGGGCAAGTAGCCACAGGTGGTCAGTGAGAGTGTGTTCTACCAACATTTTAGACATTGAGGTCTGAATTTCATGTAACTCAGGCACTTTGTGAAATAATTCCAGTCTAAGAAATAGAGGTAAATATTATTTCAGGAGGTATCCATGCCCTTAATATTTCTTGAATTAGGTTAAAAAAAAAAACAGTGTAAGCAATAGGAGCATCTCTAGTTAGTAGAAAATTTTTTCAACAGGCAACTGCTTAGTCTTAGAAGCTTACTGTACATGGAAATTTGATATTGTAAAGTAAAAGCCATTCTCCGTGTTGATACCATACGGCGGCGCGGCGGGAGTGCTGGTTGGACAGACATTATAGCCTGTCTAACTGCTCCCAGTCAGCCACACGGGTTAATAAATAGTCACTTTGTACTTGGCTTTAGAGTGGCTTGTGACTATTTCATTGTTTCTCAAGCCAAGGAGTATTTTAGGATGTTGCCAGGTGAAATACAGGACTTTGAGTTTGGATTTTAGAGAGATAGCAAATTTTTTGTGTCAGTGTAAGTATATTTCTCAAACAATATAAATTGTCATGTATGTGAAATGTAGATTGAACTAGGTGTTCTATTTCCTTTTTTTTTGTGCTGCTAAATCTGGCCGTCCTAGGCTACGGAACACTGGGAGTCTGTAGGCATGTTCTTGGGGTCTACCGCTCTATGGGAATATTAAATTGTTTTTTCAGTTTAATAACTTTTTTCTGCGTGTTACAAAACAGGCCTTTTGTAATGAGAACTCATCATGGAAAGTCTTTCAGAGGCTAAAACAAGTTTATTTAGTTAGAGTTTCACAGGCTGCTCAGCTTGCACACCTCTGGGACTCAGAGTTTTTTCTTTAATCTCTGTGTTACTGCTTTGGGAAATGACCTGTAGTGAGGATTTGGGATTTTAGACAAATCGAGCACAGGAGCCGAGTTGTGAGATAGCCTCCTGCCTCTCCCCATCCTTGCAGATTTTGGAATCTTTGTTTTATTAATTTTCATTTTATTTGAAAGGCAGAGAAATGGAATCAGAGAATCTTCATCCACCGATTCACACCCCCAAATGCCTGGGACGAGCAAGGCTGGGTGAGCACAGTAGGCTGCCCAGAATTCCGTCCTCCTTGCAGGGACAGCCGGAGCTGTTAGGTACAGTTTCTTGGGTGCCCGTTAGCTGGCAGAGCTGGGACTCAGACCAGTCTCATGATCCCGGATGCCAGCCTCCCACCAGATGTTCACCCTAGAAGCATTTGTAATAGAAGGGCAGGGGCATTATTGCAACACATTTTTGAACAAGCATTCTTTTTTTCTTTATTTTGAAACAGTATTTATTGAGGGCTATACTATATATCGGGTCTGGAGTTTGGGGACTAAGAGAAAAAAACAATGTAGAGGGAGGGCATAGTTCCTGCTGAGTGCCTGGCAGCTGCCGTTTCCATCAGGTGAGGCGTCTCTGACAAGCTGCTGTGTGAGGAGGCCAGGGCAGGGCAGGGACAGCCTTGTAACTGGGTAGGCTTGCAGGACAGAGTCCCCACACGGGCTGGATGTGGAGCCAGCACTCCGGCCCTAGGCAGTGTGCTAGTAACTCCGGGTCTTCAGCATGGAGCCTCTGCATTTATTAAGGAACAACATGTGTATGGATAGCATAAAATGGTATAAGATCTGTTCTTGAATTCCTCATTTTTTTAAAAATAAAAATTTATTTATTTGGGCCCAGCGTGATAGTGAAGTGGTTAAAGTCCTTCCTTGCACGTGCTGGGATCCCACGTGGGTGCCAGTTCTAATCTTGGCAGCTCTACTTTCCATCCAGCTCCCTGCTTGTGGCCTGGGAAAGCAGTCAGATGGCCCAGAGCTTTGGGACCCTGCACCCGCGTGGGAGACCCAGAGGAAGTTCCTTGCTCCCAGCTTCGGATCGACGCAGCACCGGCTGTTGAGGTCACTTGAGGAGTAAATCATCGGACAGAAGATCTTCCTCTCTGTCTTTCCTCCTCGCTCCAAAGTCAGATGACTTTGCAATAAAAATAAATAAATCTTAAAAAAGAAAGCAACTTTGGCATAGATACTTGTGCTTTTTGAGCATTTTTAAAGCTTATGTAAAAATAATAAATGTAGCTTATGTCACGCATACAACAAATCTGGAAGGCTGTGTGAATCCATGTCAGCCCCGTGCAGGAGCCGTGCCGGGCTCGTCGCAGACAGCGCTGCCGAGGTGAGCACTCAGACACTGGCTGTGAGACTTCGCAGCACTGAGAAGAGGAAGTCGCCTCGAAACTCCATCCAGGCCTAACGTCTTGGTGGAATCAGGATCATATTTTTCTTGTTACGGAATCCTTTTGTGGAGTGATCCAGTTGATAATACGCCTTGGACTCCTTGGTCTGCTTGTTTGTTTACACTGAAAAGCTTACATGGGTTATTGTTAGAATTATCATAAAATCTTGCATGTTCTCAGTGTCTTCCTATTTTCAGTAAAATTGTATATAATCTGCGGCTGTTTTACTCTCAGGAAGGGTTTTTGCTGGGAGAGGTGAGGCAAGAGGAAACCTTCAGCATCAGTGACTCTCAGATGAGCAACACAGAATTTCTGCAGATAATCGGTAAGTTGTTACCTCAGGAGGCACCTTTCCGTGTCTGCACCTGCTATTTGTTTTGTTCTTTGGTACTTGAGTATTTGTGAAGGATTAGAAGTACTTAGATAAGATGATCTGCGCTAATGAATTATGGGAATTTTTTTAAGTCCGTGTAAACCTAACTGCACGATTAGCTGTTCTAGAAAGCGAGCCCTGTCCCATCAGTTGGTCTGCCTTCTTCTGACTCACCAAGTGACTACTTGATGGTCTTGTCAGAGCCACGGTGAACTGAGCTTTGTATATTTTGCTCTCCCAGTTACCAGTGTCACTTTGTGGTCACATAGATAGATGGTCTGGCCCATCCTGCCTGCAGGAGTCAGGCAGTGCTGTTCGCAGATGTTTGCCTGAGGTACTTGCTGAGGGCTGAGCCTCTCGCTTGCAGGGGGCCTCTCAGCTAGCAGGGACAGGTTACGGACGCAGCCACTCTCCTTTGGTCAGTGTGGGTCATAACCCTTCCTGGTTCCCCTTGGCAGATCACAGAGCACCTGACACTCCGGACAAGGCAGAGGCTGTTTCTTTGTGCAGCAGACAGTTACAGCAGAGCTTCCAGGTGCCAGGCCGAGAGAGGGATGCCCAAAGGCATGTTTCCGTCAGAGCTGCAGGTGGGCATACAGCAGCTATGCAGAAAGGCCGGACAGTGCAAGAGAAGCACTGAGAGAAAGGACCAGAAAATCCCAGCGAGTGCCAGGGTGGAGAAAAGCCACTCTGAGGAGGCCAGGGAAGACATCAGGCGGAAGGTGAACTTAGAGTCAGTGGGCAGAGCAGAGCAAGGAATACTGGGAGTCGGTTTCTGTCCCCCTACTGAGTACAGAAGGAAAGAAGGGGAACAGTTTCCTGTTGGAAGATTAGATCATGTTGGGACCAACTCTTCAGTTACTCCAGCCTCTGCTGACAGCCTTCTGCTGCGTGGATTGGGCACAAAAGTGAGGACTCACATGGGATTAGGACTGAGAAAAGTAAACTATCTCCCAAGAGGAAAAAACCCCATAACCCCTTATCACTGTGTCCGCCGGCCAAGCAAAAACCCGGGATGTATGTAGTGTCCTGTTCATCTTTTGTTGAGGGGTTTTGCTTTTTATGTTGCTGAACTCTTTAAAATCTGAACAGAGCTTGGTTTCATGGGCTCTTGTGTAGTTACTCATTATTTGTACCTGTGTTTTCAAAAGTGATCCAGCATGATAGCCTAGTGGTTTAAGTGCTCACCTGGCAAGTGCCATGATCCCATATAGGCACTGGTTCATGTTCTGGCTGCTCCACTTCCCTTCTGGCTCCCTGCTTGTGGCCTGGGAAAGCAGGAGTGGATGGCCCAAAGCCTTGGGACCCTGCAACTGTGTGGGAGACCTGTAGGAAACTCCTGGCTTTGGATCAGCTCAGCTCCAGCTGTTGCCTCCACTTGGGGAGTGAATCAATGCACGGACGATCTCTTCTCTTCTCTTCTCTTTTCTTCTCTTCTCTTCTCTTCTCTTCTCTTCTCTTCTCTTCTCTTTAAATCTGACTTTGCAATAAAAATAAATAAATCTTAAAAAAAGCCACTGTGGCATGGTCCACCTCACCTTGGCATTTGCCTGTGGGTGTTGTAGCTTCGCCCGGCCCGGCCAACCCCCAATTCCAGCTCACTCTGGTGGGGGCTACAGCTCAGCCCAGCTCAGCCAGCCCCCAGTCCTGGCCCTCATGTGAACTGGCTTGTGTTGTGGCCCAACCCGGTCCAGCTCACACTCCATTCTGGTGCTTGGATTTGCCAGCGGGTGATGTGAACTGACCCAGCCTGACTTGCCCCCAACCTGAGCCAAATGTGGGCTGGTGGTTGCTGTTCCCTACCTGCTCTGGGCTGCTCCCTATTATGGTTCTTGTGCTCACCTGCAGGGACTGTGTCCCAACAGAGAAGTTCCCCAAGCTCCTCCATCCTTCCCCAACCTTTCCCAATGCCAGATCTCGTGCACACCGTTGGGTCCATGTTCCAACCCTACTTAGTCCACCTCCTGTTCTAACAGGGACAGTGGCCTTTTCCTGACTGGCTCTCACCAATTCCAGTTTTTACTGTTGGGTACTACAGCCCAGCCTAGCCTGGTCTATATCCAGACACAGCTCATGCATGGCTCAGCAGGGGTAGAATCCTAGCCCAACCCATCCTACACCTACCCTGGTTCTCACGAGTACCAGGTGCTGGAGTCAAGCCCAGTCGGCCCAGACCCAGCCCACACTTGTGCTGAGGACACTGCAGCTGTGTCCAGACTAGACAGCAGCCCCCACTCTGGCCTTCACACTTACCAGCACCCTCCACTGCTTTTCCAGGCCACAAGCAGGGAGCTGGGTCAGAAGTGTCACAGCCAGGAGTTAAACTGGAACTCGTGGGTTGCTGACACTGTGGGTACACGTACTGGCGCCATGTACAATGTTTAACTTAATACCTCTGTGTATCTCACAGTGTGTTTACTAGTGTTATTTTAAACATGCTGTTACCACTGGGACACATTTCTTTAAAAAAAAAAAAAAAGTAGGTATTAAAAAATGTAAGCTGGGCCTGGCGCGGTGACGCAGTGGTTAAGGTCCTCGCCTTGCACACCCGGGATCCCATATGGGCACCGGTTCCATCCCGGCAGTCCCGCTTCCCATCCACCTCCCTGCCTGTGGCCCGGGAAAGCAGTCAAGGACATCCCAAAGCTTTGGGACCCTGCACCCGCGTGGGAGACCCGGAAGAGGCTCCTGGCTTCGGATTGGCATAGCACCGGCTGTTGTGCTCACTTGGGGAGTGAATCATCGGACGGAAGATCTTCCTCTCTGTCTCTCTTCTCTGTATATCCGCCTTTCCAATAAAAATAAAATTAAAAAAAAATGTAAGCTGAGTTGGAAGGTCAGATGTCGGGATAGGTGCCATGGGAGTATGCCCTGCTGTAGCGTGGAGGTTTCCTACTTGACCTCTGGAGTGAGAGGTCTGAGTAAAGGGTTCACACTCACTATTTTCTGACAGTACCTCAATCCACACACAAACACCTTTATCTTACTCTAGGGCAAAAAGGTTCAAGGGCTACAGGAAAATGGGTAAGACTATTATTTCCATTGAAGGAGATTTTAACAAGCATTGATTTTTATTGATTTGAAACAGAGAGAGAGAGAGATAGAGAGCTTCCATTTGCTGGTTCGCTCCCCCAAATGGTCGCAATGGCCAGGGCTAGGCCAAGTGGAAACCAGGGGCTTCATTCCAGTCTCCCACCATGGACCAGGCAGCCGAGGAATTGGGCCGTCTCCTGCTGCCTTCCCAGAAGCATTGGCAGGAATCTGGATTGGAAGTGGAGCACTCAGGATTCAACTCAGTGCCCATATGGACATTGGCGTTGGAGGCTATGACTTAAATCAGTTATGGCACAGTGCCAGCCCTTGGTGGCCTGTGTAGAGAATGCTTATTTCGCATACAAAATGTTGACATCTTGTTTGCATATGTATGAATTTAATTTGTTTTAAGCAGAACTGTACACCTGGGTTCTCAGAGGGCAGGGAGGATGTGTGTTCCAAGTTAAGAGCCTCCACTAGGGATTTCATTCAACAAAAGTCTTTGCTTTACAGTAGATGAATTTTTCTTTACCCTGAACTCCTACTAATGGTTAAAAATATTCCACATCTTACTGAGAATATGTCTGAAATAGTGATGCTGACAAACTGTCATTTGTAAAAAGGATATATTTACCTGAAATTTACAAGTGGAGAGGAGGGGAAGACTGAGAGGAGAGGACAGTGGTGTCTTCCATTCACTTTGCGTGGCCAGGTCAAAGCCAGGAGCCGGAAGCTGCATCTCTCAGGGTAGGTGTGGGGACCCGAGCACTTGGGCCGTCACCTGCTGTGTCCCAGGTGCCTTAGGAGGAAGTACACAGGCCAGGACTTGCACCAGCGTGCTGATGTGTTACACCTGTGTCACAGGTGACGGTATAAGGTGCTGCACGACGCAGCCAGCCCCAGTTGTGTCACTTCTGGGTGTTGAAGGAGATACAGGGTGGCGTGATAGTTCAATGCTAAACCCTCACCTCACTGACCAGGAGCAGTAGCTCAGTGGCTAAAGTCCTTGTCTTGCATGCGCTGTGATCCCATATAGGCACCAGTTCATATCCTGGCCACTCTACTTCCCTTCCAGCTCCCTGCTTGTGGCCTGGGAAAGCAGTCAAGGACGGCTTAAAGCCTTGGGACCCTGCACCTGCGTGGGAGACCTGGAAGAAGCTCCAGGCTCCTGCCTTTTGGCTTTGGATTGGCTCAGCTCTGGCTCTTGGGGCCACTTGGGAAGTGAAATCAACAGATGGAAGATTTTTCTCTGTGTATCTTCTCTGTAAATCTGACTTTCAATAAAAATAAATAAATCTTTTGAGGAAAAAAAACAGGCAGTATGTCCAGATGAGGGTCTCTTATTTGCCTTGCCCTGTCAACAACTGTAGATAGGCAAATGAGCATTCTTCCCTGTGGAACGTTGCACTGGCAGGTGTATCCTGGCAGCATTATCCCCAGTCAGAAGCTCATGGGCACGTCCTTCCTTGTGTCCTTCACGCAGTGGTTGCATTTTGGTGAAGCTGCAGGTGAGGCCTGCACCTGTGAGCTGTGGCTTTGTATGCGGCAGGTGGTAGACTCTGCAGGAGCATGTGCTGAGCAGAACTGGGCTCGGCTCGGGATCTGGCAAAGAAAGCCCGACAGGAAGCCCGCTGGCTGGGCTGCAGACGTGTTCCCTCTGCATCTTCTTTGGGTTTCAGGGTCCATTAGGATTTACCTTATGAATGTTTACTAATCATCTTTGAAAGGGTTAGTAGATGTCCCAAATTGCGGGTCTGAATCCCAGGCCTGGGTTGGGTTAGCCCAGGCTAACACTGTCCTCACAGCTTTGACCACTGACTCAGTGCTTGCAAGGCAGTGGTAGGATCGCTTAGGCACAGGACAGCAGCATGTTCCAGAAGGAATGCTGCCAACTGTGGACGCATCCTACCTGGGCAGATGGAAACTACTCCTTCTCTGGCCTGCTTGGTTCCGAGAGTGAGTGTGAGAGCGTCCACCTTGGAAGGCCACTTTGCTGGTGTGCAGGCAACAACTGCCATCATGTTGTCGTAGTTCAGGGGAAAGCAGGAGCTGTTTTATCGTTGCCTGTGTCTTACTCGATTAATTGAAACACGTCTCTTCTTTCTATCTGCAGAAATCCACAACCATCAGCCTTGTTCAAAACTTTTTAGGTAAGCCACTTCCTTCTTTGTAGCTCTTAGTCTCTCTTCAAGATCGATTGAATGATTGGTTGATTGCAGTCTGGCATAGGTAACCCTGCCACGTGGCTACAGAAGTCAAGTACTCTTGAAGACACCTAGATCCCATGTATTTGTGGAGTTCTCTGCATGCCTGGCAGTGTAGCAGTGGTGTGGACCGTGTCTGAGTGACAGTACAAGTGTCCCCTCAGGCTGATCATGAGGAGGAAGACAGAGCTTTCCTCATTCCCTGCGTTTGTTTAAATTACTGTATACTGGGTCCATTTTAGAAGTGGGAGAAACATTCAGATGGGAAAGTGAGGAGGGAGACGGAGGAGGGAGACGAAGTCGGGTGGCAAGCAAACCCCACCCGGCCCTTTGGCTGCTTTCTCAGTCCCAAGCCTTCCAGCTGATGCCTGGTCTGATTTCAGCTCTGGTGGATGAGATGCCGAATCCTTACTTCTTCCCAGAAGCTGGGCCAATACCGCTGTTCAGCGCTGCCTCCCCCTGGCCACCCCGATCCCTGTCCAGTGCCCACCATCCAGCGCTGCCCCTTCCCCCTGAGACCCTGTTCAGTGCCCGCCGTGCAGTGCAGCCCCCCCCCCAGTTCCCATTCAGTGCCAGCCATGCAGCGTTGCCCCCCTCGAGTCCTGTCCAGTGCCTGCCATGCAGCGCTCCCCCCGTCTCCATCCAGTGCCCACTGTCCCCATCCAGTGTTGCCCCTGCCCCCCAGTCCCTGTCCAGTACCCACTGTCCAGTGCTGCCTCCCCTCGAGTTCTCATCCAGTGCCTGCCATCCAGTGCTGCCCCCCCCCCCCCCCAGTTCCCATCCAGTGCCTTGATCATCACGGCCTGGTCACAGTTGCCATGTCCTCCTGCATAGCTGGGCCTGCTAGGTTCTTTGTAGCTCTCATCCTGACTGGTCTCTTGTCATCTGGCCAAAACTTCCAGCCCCTCTGCACTCACAAGAATCGCTGTGGATGTGTGTCCTATTCACTTCCTGCACATGTGGCCCCTGCCTGGGTTATTGCAATGTTGCCTTCCTTCAGGACGGCTGCCTGCAAGAGGAGCCCCAGGAGGCACTGAGAGCCTGGCCTCTTGAGGAGCTGGGAGAGAAGAGGCTGGGAGCCAGGCCCACTACTGGCAGTTCCTTTGATTGGCCCTGCCCACTCATGTGTCCTGGCTTCTGCAAGTGCCTGCTTGTGCCACAGCGAAAGCCCAGCACTGGGATGGATATGCCCGCCTTAACCTTCCTGGGATTCTTCAAGACGCTGGCAGAGCGTACACACACTGAACTGGTCTTAAGTAGACTGGTAATTCTTAAAGCAGAAACCTTAGGAATCAGCTGTCTATTTCAAACTCCTTGTTATGCAAAAGAAGGAAATGGAGGCCAGCGGGGTAAAGTGCCTTGTCCCAACCGTACAGTGGGCGAACTGGGGCGATGGCTGGAATCTTTGATTCCTGCTTCCCTTGAACTCTTTCCTGCCTTATAAGGCCTGGGCTTGTGGTGGTGGGAGAAGAGCAGTGATGGGGGAGAGGCCTGTGTGTGTTAGATGTGCTCAGCCACCCTGGGTGGATCCCCAGCACGTTGGTCTTTTGGAAGTTAGCTGGTCAGGTTTGGTGCTAGTCAGACCTGGCTCTGTGATTTGATTCGGGCCATATTGCTTAACCCCAATATATCTTTAGCTACAGAATTGGTGGTAAAACTTCTTGAATTGTTGGGCTAAGCTAATACTTCCCAGCTTTGGGGCAAGAATGGCATGAAACAACATGAGACCTACAGCTGAACGTCTCACTAATCATTCATTCAACAAGTGTTCATTTCCCTTCATTCCTCAGAAGATAAACTGCTACAGTATCATTTTTTTATAAGCAATTGATACTTAGAAACAAAGAAAAGATGTCTCAGACATTTGAAATCACACATTTTGTAATTACTTGTATCGGCACCTCCCTGTGTGGAAGTAATGCCTTTTGAATGTAGCAATCTCTTGAGTGCAAAAGATAGTTTGTGTCCCTAAAGCCTGAGGCCTCCTTCCCTTTACCTATGGAAGACCTGCAATTATACCTCATTAGGGTTACACAGACAGCTAAGCACACCCCTGTCATAATACTATAATTTTAACAAGGTATTTTTCCCCCCAAAACAGTTTTTATGACTATGCAAGCAAAGTTAATGAAGAGAGTTTGGACAGAATTCTTAAAGATCGGAGAAAGGTATGTTGGGATTGGTGCCCATTCTGATTTAGAAATTATTTCTCTTATTACCTTCCAAACTTCAATCGAATGTAAAGTGAGAGTTGATGTTTGTATTGTTAGTTTTGTTAAGTGGATTTCAAAGTAGATCGCAGAAATAAGACAATGTTTACAATTCATCACTAGAAAAAAACTTAGTTACAGTATAATTTCATGATGTAAGAATTAGAAGACAAAGGGAACTCTAATCTGCAAAGTTAATAAGGGAGTAATTGACTGCTTTTGTCTTCGTACCTTTTAACTGAAAATCTAAGTTTTGTAAATATGTAATACACATGGATTCTATAATAAGGAAAAATATTTCTGAAAAACAAATGATAATGAAACATTCTTGGGCATGTTACTCTTTCAAGTCAGAGTTGGTACAGATGGTTTTGCACAAGGTCATATGTTTATCATTTATCAGCATTTGAATATACTCTCCCATTGTAGATGGTAGGCAAGAGGGAGCAAAATTGAAGATGGACCACCTTTTTTGTTACACATTTGTCTGATAATCAGTTTTATCACTTGGTTGGTTATGCCATCTGTGGCCTTTACTGTTCTGTGATACTAATTCCAGGAAAACAGATTGATGATTAAACCATCAGTTGAAAAGTGCCAATAAACATTTCACCTTGTCAAAGACAAGGTGCCTTTCTAATGTGCAGGACCTTCTTGGTACCACTAGGGGGCACTTCCCGCGAGAAGGAAGACCAGGAAGTGTGCCAGGATGGATGAGAAGGAAGGAAAAATGACTCTATGGTACGTGGCGAGGCGGTGGCTCCTGGCACTAACCCATCTGCCCGCCCACCTGGGCCAGGCTGTTCCAGCAGCCACAGGCATTACGTGGTCCAGCTCTGATCTCTGAGTAGCTCCCAAGAACTTTTGTTCTGGAACTTCCCAATATTCCATCCCTTAACTCCATATGCCACTTGAAGTCTGTGGGCAACTTTCATATTTTAGGTTGTGAATCTCTACTGTAATTTCTAACACTGAAATCTGCTTCATAAAGATTCTTCTGGAGTTCAGTTACCTAGAGCGTACTCTGTATGTCAGAGTATCAGGAAGTCTTCTTTAAGAAGCTGTCAAATCTGTATCTAATTTTAGAGGCAGAGAGAGCAAGAGAGAACCAGCACGAATGTTTCCGGCAGCTGGGCTGCACTGAGGCCAAAGCCAAGAGCACCGAACTCAACCCAGATCTTCATACAGGTGGCCGGAACCCAGTTCTGTGAGCCACGCCACGCACCGTCCAGGGCTGTGCTATGGGGTAACAATTTTGCCTCACCAGGCCAAACCTCTACCCCAGGTTTCTAAATTTGAAGTGAGAAAAATGGAAAAAAGGATATGAATAAAAGATGCACAGAAAAATCCACAAATGCCCAAGAAATAAATGAAAAGACATCTTCCCTTAATCGGAAAGCACAAATCAAAACATCAGACTACTTTGCTTTTGCCCATCAGGTTGGCAAAAAGATTTAAGTAATTGATGACAGTGTTTGGCAAGGTGGTGGTGGAAACTGAGAAAGTCCTAGTTCATAGAATGTAAATTGGTAAAGATACTTAAGAGGGAAGCTTTTGAGTTTTTAAGGTATGTTTTTTATAAGGCAGAGTTAGAAAGAGAGAGACAGACAGACCTTTCTTCTGCTGTTTGGCTGACGGGCTGGGCTGGGCAGAGGCCAGGAGCCAGGGTCTCCCCCGTGTGGCAGGCTCAGTCTGGATTGGAAGTGGAACAGCCGAAACTCAAACCAGTGTTCATATAAGGTCTGGCATCACAAGTGACCGTTCCAACTTCTGAGCTATACTGATAGCCCCACCGTATTTGATAAAGTTCACTTTCTAAATCGTCATGTGCCCTATAGCTGAAATAAATGGAGAAAACAAGACTGTACCATGCAGGGTTTTTTCAATTAGTGAAGCTGAATGGACATTCCGGAAGTGAAGCCACGTATCTATAACCGGCTAATTTTTGATAAAGCAAACCAAAATTAATCCAGGGAGAAAGGACGATCTAACAAATGGTGCTGGTAAAATTGATACATGCCTGCAGAAGTAAGAAACAAAACCTTATATAAAAATCAACTCTATGGGCGGCGTGGCCTAGCGGCTAAAGTCCTCACCTTGAACGCTCCAGGATCCCATATGGGCGCTGGTTCTAATCCCAGCAGCTCCACTTCCCATCCAGCTCCCTGCTTGTGGCCTGGGGGAGCAGTAGAGGATGGCCCAAAGCTTTGGGACCCTGCACCCACGCGGGAGACCCGGAAGAAGTTCCTGGCTTTGGATTGGCATAGCACTGGCCGTTATGCTCACTTGGGGAGTGAATCATCGGATGGAAGATCTTCCTCTCTGTCTCTCCTCTTCTCTGTATATCTGACTTTGTAATAAAAATAAATAAATCTTAAAAAAAAAATCAACTCTAAATGGATCAAGGATCTAAACGAATGACCCAGGACCATCAGATTACGAGAAGAAAGCATCGGGAACAGTGTGCAAGACATAGGCGTAGGCAGAGAGTCTGAGAGAAGACCCCAAAATAGCATGCAGCTAAAGCCAGTAGACAGATGGGACTAAATCGAGCTCAGAAGCTTCTGTGCCACAGGGAAAACTGGTCAATAAAGGCAGCAGAATGGGAGAAAACATTTGCAAATTGCATAACAGATGTAAGACTAACATCCAGAGTTTGCAAGGAACTGCAGAAATTCAACAACAGTAAAGCAGGCAATCCAGGATGGGCAAAGGACATGGACAGACACTTTTTTTAAAAGATTGTTTTTCAAGGTTTTTTTTTAATTTAATTTTTGATAATTTTTACATATTTGATTAGGGCACAAATGGTCAAGGGCTAGAGAAAAGTGGGTGAGACCACTGTTTTCACATTCTCTTTATTCCTTCCTGTATTTGGAGGAGATAAAGGCAGATGCCACACCAGCCTCCCACCCATCCCAGGCTCCTCGATGTGGTCACACTCTGAGGGTCCTGCTCAAGAGGTTTCGATAGCTCAGCAGTTCTGAATTGCTGCCAATCTCAGCTCTCCAAGCATGATGAAATCTCTCCAGAATCCACTGGCTGACATAGTTTACCTTGGAGTATCCGTTTGCCCAGGAGACTCACTGCCAACACTTGGCTGGGTAGTTGATCGATTTGTTCTGTCCTTCATCCTCTGTTGTGGCACCAGGTGTCCTCTGCAGGCTCCAGTGTACTGCCATATCCTCCGAGTGCTTCTGGATATGCTGTCCACTGCTTCATCTAAGTCACTGAGGAGGCCCAGCTCTGACACAGGCACAGCACGGTCAGACCATGAAACCTGCCCTTCTCTCCATGGTTGGGAGTTCTGAGTCCAGTGGTTCAATTGGGAGAACTCCCAAAGAAACCTCATCTGAAGTGCACCCAGACCTGATTCTTGTGTGTGCATGGCAGTGCAGGGTCTGGCACAGTCTGTTGCCCAAATCAGCCTATGCAGCACTGGTAGTTACGAGTACTGGTCAGTTCTGTTTCCGTCTCTGTCTTCTACACAAACTAATGGGTATTAGAGCCTAGCCCGATCCTGCATACCACAGACTTGGCCCGCATATAAACAATTGGGAGCTGCAGCCTAGTCAGAGTGACCTGCAATAATTCCCATCAGGCCCGCCCCATGCCCTGGTTCCCTTGCTTGCCAGTATGTGCAGCAGACTGGTCCAGTCTGTCCCACATCCCATTCAGCTCTTATAAACATCATTGGGCATTGACGCCTAGTTCAACCCAACCATTCCTAATATTCAGCCCATACACGTGCTCGTGGTGCCACTCTTTGTCTAGCTATGCCTGCCGCTAGTTCTGGTTTCCATGCTCACCAGTGGGAGTTGCAGTCCATCAGAGAGGTGCCCCCTGTTTCCCTAAAGGCCTCACTCCCAGATCTTGCATTCTCCAAGTGGTTCTGCTGTTTAGCCTGACAGTTTGCCTTCTGTGCCAGCATCTGCTGACTGGTGCTGCAGCAAAGCCCAACTAATTCACGCCCACTTTGATTTATGCATGCACCAGTAGGAACAGTCAACCCAGCCTGGCTTTCCCTTGATCCAGCCCACACAAGGCCTACAGGTGTTGTAGCCCTGCCCTGCCTAATCTTCCCCCAATCCCAATTCTCATGCTCACCAGTGGGAGTAGTGGCCCAGCAGGAGAGCCTCATGCAGCCCCTCTACCGGGTTTGCCCCTGTCCACCCCCCCCCCCACCCCCTAGGTATCACGTTTGCTGGTTGGATGCTGCAGCTCAGTCTGTCACAGCCCGCCTCACCTCGGCATTTGCCAGTGGGTGCTGTAGCCTGGCCTGGCCCACTCCCAGCCCCAGCTCACACTGGTGGTAGCTACAGCTTAGCCAGTCCATGCAGCCCCCAATACAGGCCCTCATGTGAACTGACTGGTATTACGGCACGATCTGGCATGACTCACACACCATTCTGGCTCTCGGATTTGCCAGCAAGTGATGTGAACTGGCCCATCCTGGCTTGCCCCCAACCTGAGCCAAATGTGTACTGGTGGTACCATTCCTTGCCTGCTCTGGGCTGCTCCCTATTGTGGTTCTTGCGCACACCCAGACATAGCTCATGCATGGCTCAGCAGGGGCAGAGTCCTAGCCCAGCCCATCATACACCTACCCTGGTTCTCATAAGCGCCAGTAGGTGCTGGAGTCAAGCCCAGTCAGCCCAGACCCAGCCCACACTTGTGCTGAGGACACTGCAGCTATGTCCAGACCTGACTACGCCCCCACTCAGGCCCCCGCGCTCACCAGTGGGAATCACAACCCAGCCAAGGCATCTGCTTAGCTTCCCAACCAGGCCTGTTCCCTGCTGCAACATGTCCCTGCTCAGTCTGCTCCTGTCCCTTGCTCGTGCAGTCTGGTAGATGTGACAGCTTAGCCTGGCATGACCTTTACTCCATCCTGGTTTCTGTGCTTGCCAACGGGCTAAGCTTTGCTCAGTTCTACCCAGTCTGCCTGCTTCCAAAAC